GGCAGAAAGGCCAGCGCTAGACCATCACATCCTCTCCCAGAAAAACTCTTTTAAGAAACAGAATTGAAACGTTAGTTCCTGTCACCAACCTTATTTAGTTTATGCTTTCAAGTGGCCTTATAAGTGGTAAAACTTTTTTGATATAAAATGATGAAATAATAGCATTATGAGTGCAATATTCTGATGTCATCTGTCTCCAACAGTATTTGGTTCTGCAGACTTGTATGAATTAAACACGACTAAAATCACACATTTCAGACTTTATTTATTTTGTCTACAATACTAAGTGCAACAAGGGATAAACATGCCTCCCAGAACATTTTTTTCCCTGTGAAGTGACAGTCTCTCACTTCCGGCAATATGAATCAGCAGTTTTGATGACGTCACCCTGCACTTCAGCTTCTCATCAAACTTTCTGTCCAATCTTTATGATTTCATTTGGAGAAAAAAGGCTCACTATTTATGAAAATATATTTTAAATAATAGCAGAGAATTTGGGGGCCTTGAAGTGTTACATTTTACAGACCTAAATGAGGTATTTAAGATAAAATGGATAATTGAGTACATTAAAAATAAAGATACTGTGTGGCATATATTTCCCAATTTCATATTTAATTCTCTTGGTGGCATTAATTTTCTTTTAAATTGGCAAGCTTTCATAAGCAGGCATTGCTGGCTTGGCAATTAATCTATAAGCACAATTTTACACCACATCTGTATTTTCTGTGGAATAATCGAGATGTCTTGTATTTAAAAAAAAGTCTATCTTTAATCAGTCATGGTATGACAATGGAATATTTACAGTTAGTCAGTTGCTCAATGAACATGGTTTGCTTTTGTCATACTCAGAATTCCTTAAAAAATGTAAAATTCCTGTGAAACCAAAATACTATGCTGTTATCTTTGACACAATCCCAAGTAAAGTTGTATCATTGTTACATAATTCTGCACAGTCTGTTAATGCTAACCAACAACCCATGACTTGTGATGATATGATATTTATTGGTGATATTAATATTGTTAAAGATAAATGCAGTAATAGATACATTAGAAATGTGTTAAAGAAGAATTATGTGCCATGCACAACAGTCTTTTGGTCATCTAAACATGAAAACATTGAGTGGAAGAAAGTATGGTCAATAACAAATAAGTTTTTTATAAGTAATAAAGTTAGAGAGGTATTTTATAAAATATTACACAGAATTTACCCTGTTAAAGTGTTATTTGAACGATTTGAATTGGATATGGAAAACTCTTGTGATTTTTGCGGTGGTGTTAAAGAATCTGTGATTCATCTTTTTTTTCAGTTTGTGCACTCAAGATTATTTTGGACAGATGTATCTAACTTCATTTCAAGGATGTTTGGAACATTAATTCAAATTGAAATGTATGATGTCATATTTATTTTTGTACAAGATACCATTGATTCTAAAAGTACATTTTCATTTCTTACACAACTAATTATTTTACTTGGAAAATATCATATTCATGTAAAGAAATGGGCTAAAGCTAAACCAAATTGTGAACACTCTATAAAAGAAATTAAACAATATGGTACTACTTTGCGTAATATTATGAAGCTCTATGTCACTTTAATTTGGTAAATTAAATGTTGTCATTTTTACCCCTGGCATACTTTAATACTATTTTTTCTCATAATTGTTGTGAGATGTATATGTCTGTACTAATTTTGTACATAATTGCATAATAATAATTTAAAAAAAAACTTTCTGTCCAATCAAATGCTCTCTAGAATCTGAAATGTCCCGCCCCCTACACTATAAATAGACGCTGAAACAGCGGCTGAAACTGATCGCTTGCTCATAGAATTAGTATTTTCTGTGTGCTGAATGGCACGTAGTGCACAATATAGGGAATATGCTTTCCATTGGGTCGAAAGAAGTCTGGTTTCGCGTTGTGTCACGCACACAGTCTGATCCGGCCCAGAGACACGATAGCGCGGACTCGGAGCGGAGCATATTCGAGTCGCGCATACCACAAAATGTATCGGACCCATTTGAATTCTACACAGAATGCTATATTTTATAGCGATTTGGATCAGATTAGGAGGAGAAACGGTTAGACAAACGGCACTAACGAGTAGAAGAGATAACACCGGTGCCCTGCACCAACATGACACAATTTTCAAACTATACATCCTCAGCATCATTATCACTGTTTTGCTTTACTTCAGGACCTTTAAACTCAGCGCTCACAGTGTGTTCTTACCTCTGCGTGTGTTGTCGAATAAATGGATTTAGTCTGATCGCCAAGAGTCAGTGTGCTTTGATGCATTGGCCGTTTGCCCCGGGTGCACGGTGTCGGTGTGCAGGTGGGACGCTCTTTGATTGAGGTCATTTGATGACTGTCTTCACCATATCCCAAAGACACAACTGCAGTTCTTCTCCTTAGAGATGACACGACTCTATAAAACGAATTTGAAAAACACTGTATTTTCGCTGGCCGCCTTTCTACTAGGACTCGATATCACTGCGATCCTCATCCTCATATAGGCCTACCAATTTTCTGTTTCACAACGGGCGCTAGTAGCAACGCCAAAACAATAGACTTTTATCTGAAAGTACAAGCGTAAGAACGTATTTACATGTAAATACTATTCTCAATATTTAAATAATAATAATAACCTAGGAAATATCTAAAAGAGGGGAAAATATTATGAAACACAAAATTATGAAGAAAAACTGACATAACAAATAATAATTATAATAAATTATAGGATATTGGTTAAATTAATTAAAGTTAATAAATTAATAAATTAAAGGATATTGGTTAGACATCACCACAGTGGATTTGGGTAACATTAAAGCCATTCTGTGTGAATTACAGGGGAGTAACAGATTTCTGTAATCTGTTATATTGTGTTGTCGGAGTCGGTGACCTTGTTGTATCTATAGGTTAAAAATGTAGGCCTATCATTTTTCTTAATCACAAACTAGTGGTATATTTTGCAGAATTACACAATGTTATCACACTTATGCTATCACTTGTAATCACATTCAGCTATTTCTCTAAAGAAAAAGATAAAGATCAATTTCTTTGCTATGTCACATTTAATTCCAACCCAGACAAGAATAATATCCTAACAAGTTTTACCACATTCTGAGAACATCTTTTACTGAAAATCAGTGTTAACAGAAATCTCCAGTTGTGTTCCTAAACGGGATCTCATATAGGCTACAGATTATTTGAGCAAAATTAAGCATGTCCACAAACACATTTGACATGTTTGTGTTTGAATGGTTCTAAAAATATATGCTTCTATACAGTATATGTTAAAAAGCCAATGGGAAAACGTAGCCTAAAGAATGTCATCTTTCAATTCTACCCACATATGATTTACTAGATATGAATAACAGCACTTTTAGAGTTCCATCCCTCTATTTTATGTCAGAATAAGTACAATTGACAGTACTATTGAGTAAAACAATTGACAGTTGTTCATAAATGATCAGGTGTTTTTTATTGGATTAACTGATCAGTGATCACACATAATTTTGACAAAACCTTTGTATTTTATAATGTACAATGAGCACACAGACATTAGTGGCCATGCTTAAAAGATTCAGAAGAGATTCAATAAACAACTTTGAATGAATCTACGGTATTCAAAAATAACTAACCATGCTCAAACTTTTTTTACAGACTTAAATATTTCCACAGCTAAAATTGCCATATTTCCTTTGATATATTCACTCACAGTTTAAGTAATTGAGCTCACCTGACACAACTTTTATTCAAACTGAACACGAATGCTGTGTGCTTTGAGAACACTGCTTTTTTCTATAATAGAGTAGACCTTTAGCTAAGGTAAAACTGCTTCCACATTGAGGGCAAGTGTGGAGCTTCTATTCTTTGTGACTTAATATGTGCCTCTTAAAGTTTCCTTTATGTGGGAATCTCTTTCCACACTAAGAGCATGTGAAAGGTCTCTCTCCAGTGTGAATTGTCCCACACTGTGCAGTTTTTCATGCGTTTTCAGGCTTCCTGACTGGGCGAAACTCTTTTTACAATATGAGCACTTGTAGGGTCATTCTCTCGTATATGGACTCTATGGTGTTTTATCAACTAGTCGGCTCTACTAAAGGCTTTTCCACATTCACAGCACACATGAGTTTTAACACCCTCATGTGTTTTCTGGTGCCTTTTAAAAGAGTCAATACATACAAATCTCTTTGCACAAGCATAACAGTCATAAGGTTTCTCTTTTGTATGAACATTCAGGTGTTTCTTTAGGTGTGACGCTAAAGTAATTTTTTTATTGCAGTGATCAGTTAAATTCCTGTAGTGAGTGATAGCGGTGCAGATGATATTTGAGACTGCTTGCCCATGTGAAACTCTTTCCACACTGATTACACACATAGGGCTTTTCTTTAATGTGAATTCTCATGTGAGTTTCGGCTTGAGATTTATTTATGAATTCTTTTCACAATGAGGGCAAGAGAAAGGCTGGCCAACTTAAATAGCGCACTACCGCCACCTACTGTTAGCATGAACCAGACACACGATACCCTTCATTCAATTGGTTTTATGACAGTACATTAAACATTTACAAACACCAGTAATTCTGTGTAACATGCTAAACAGTATGAGTATTTATATTTTGTAAATACATTCATTTTCATATTTACTTCCATAAAAGACTAGCACCAAAAGAAAAACAAAAAATTAAGAAAAAAATTTAAATAAAAACAAAATCTGTGAACGGAATAAAATGAAAGTATCAATAAGAAAGTCACATTTAAATTGCATGCGTTTCTTTTCTTTTTTTTGGTTTCTTACATGCTTTAGAACCTCATTTTAATGCTTAGTATATTCTTTTCTATACAGCTAGTTAGTCTTTGAATTTGATTGAATCATCAGCAAGGTTTGTATATATTTTTGACCAGGACAATTTTTCTTTGGAATAAAATTCATAAAAAAATAAATAAAATAAATTAAGCACAAAAATGCTTGTTTTTTAATGTATTCCTCTAGGCGTCTATACTGTATATGCTTGGCCCTTTCTAAATATATTATATATCTATAGACCTTATGTGTCAGAGAAACAAGTGCACAGCAATCTTTAGATTTTTTTCTTTGAACTTCTGTTTTTGTAGTAGCTCTATAGCATCACTGTTAAAGAGTAATTATCTGAAGTGGATTTACTTATTGTAGAGTTAACATGTTATCACGTGCATTGTAATGTTCGAAGCGGATGTGGTAACAAATGTCGGTTGACCGGGAAGATTTTAAAACGAGCGGTTCATTCATAAATTCGTACGACCCATACCTTCACGCTGTGGGAAGACAGAAGACAACGGGGCGGAGCTACATAAGGTCTACATTTACATTTATGTATTATAAAAAATTTAGTTTTCCAGACCACTCTCACTCCCTTGGTTTTCTGAATTAATTCTTTACCTTAAGTTTTCTTTAACAATAAAGTGCTAGATGCACAAACTTTCTGCTGCCATTTACATTGAATGAGAGCTTATTCGCCACTAAATGTTGTAGATGTAATTGCTTTTTTGGTAGAAATGCAATCTTTGGGCATATCTGACACTATCTGGATTTCAACGGAGCATGAATTTGGCACACTTTAGGAACACTGCTTTTCTCTGTGATAACTTAGACCTTTCGCTGAGGTGAAGCTGCTTCCACATTGAGCGCAGGTGTATGGCTTCTCTCCAGTATGCAGTCTTACATGTTCTCCCAGGTTTGCTTTCTTACTGAAACTCTTTCCACAATATAAGCACATGTACAGCCGTTCTCCCGTATGGACTTTTTGGTGTTTTATCAAATAATCGGCTGTAGTAAAGGCTCTCCCACACTCTGAGCAAACATGGGTTTTCACACCCTCGTGTATTTTCTGGTGTGCTTTGAAACACAGGAGCCATAAAAAACTTTTTCCGCAAAACGAACAGACAAAAGGTTTCTCGTTTTGATGAATTTTCAAGTGTCTCTTTAGGTATGACTCTAAAACAAATGTTTTATTGCAGTGCTCACAGGTAAACTCCCTTTCTTCAGAGTGAGAGTGGCGCATATGAATTTTCAGACAGCTTGCCCATGCAAAACCCTTTCCACACTGAAGGCATTTAAAAGGCTTCTCTTCAGTATGAATTCTCATGTGATATGTAACGTCTCGTTTACTGATGAAGCTCTTTCCACACTGAGAGCAGGCGAAAGGTCGCTCTCCGGTGTGGATTTTTATGTGTTCCTTAAGGTGTCCTTTATTCAGGAAACTCTTTCCGCACTGAAGGCATGTGTGAAGACACTCTCCAGTGTGAATTTTGATGTGATCATTAAGGGATCGTTTATAACTGAAACTCTTTCCACATTGAGAGCAGGTGAAGGGTTTGCCTCTATCGTGACTTAGTAAGTGACTTCGAAAGTGTTCGTTACGTTTGTACCTCTTTCCACACCGAGGACAGACGAAAGGCTTCTCTTCATTGTGAATTAGTATGTGATCATTAAGGTTTCTTCTGCGTGAGAATCTCCTTCCACACTGAGGGCAAGTGAACGGCTTCTCTCCGGTGTGAGTTAACATGTGATCGTTAAGGTGACCTCTATGGGCACAATGTTTTCCACACAGAGAGCAGGTGAAAGGCTTTTTGACTGTTGTTTGAGTGCTGCTTTGTGAGAAATTGTTTTCAGTTTGGGAGCAAGTCAATGATTTTTCTCCAGTGAGGACATCATGAGCTTTCTGATGCTGATGTTTCTCCTCCACTTCATTCAGAATTTGACTTTCCTCTTTCACTTCCTCGAGGCCTGAAATGACAACAATAAATTACTGAAAATCAACACAAGCAGGACAAACAGGAAAAAACTGATTTATGATTTATTTTCTTCATCAGATTATTATATCAGCTCTAACTGGTTACAATCATGTTCCACAACAAGTAAATAATAATAATATTCAACAATGGACACAAACCTTCTTGGTGCTCATTGTCTATTCTGCAGGGTTCTGGATCACACTTGTCCTCACTCTCCTCCTTAATAAACATCATCTTTTAAAGTTGCATTTCACCTCGAGATATTCCTGTTTATTACGCTTATAACAAGGATAAAGGCAATATTGCTAGTGTTTGAATTAATTAATTCGTGTCTTTCTGCTATGAAGTTAAAAGACGTCAGAAGGCAAAATTTGTGTTTTGACATTTGTATCAGGGAGACATAACCTCTCATTTACTGGGTTGCGTTCGTGGTTGCGTTGTTGTCATCGTCTTATTCTTGTAATGTTGGCAAGTCACCTTTTGGCGCATTGCTGCCACTAACTGGACTGGAGGATGGAGTGTCAAAATGAAAGGAGGGAAAACTGTTCTTCCTTATCGTTTTTCTGTTCTTATTGTAGCCTATCTATCTATCTATCTATCTATCCTACACTCTTAAAAATAAAGGTGCTTCAAAAGGTTCTTCAAGAACAACCATTTTTGGTTCAACAAAGAACCATTCAGTCAAAGGTTCTTTAAAGAACCATCTCTCTCTTACCTTTTTATAATCTGAAGAACCTTCTTTCACCACAAAGAACCTTTTGTGAAACAGAAAGGTTCTTCAGATGTTAAAGGTTCTTTATGGAACCATTTAGACAAAAAGGTTCTTCTATGGCATCGTGAAGCACCTTTATTTTTAAGAGTGTAAGGGAAATTCTTTCGCACAGAAAGAATTTAATGTCTCCAAATGCACTGTGTACTTTAAAAAAAAAAAAAATACATTAAAAACTTTTAAAAGTTTTCATATGAACATTACAGCTTTTACAATATTGAATTGGCATTTATTTATTTTATTTATTCATTTTCTAATACTTTTAATTTTAAAATTTGTACTTTCATTTCTATTTAAAAATGATGGTGTTAAATTGTGGTTTGTGTGTATTGTCTCTCTTCTCTCTGTCCAGTTGCTCTCTCTCCGTTGCTCCAGGTTCCTGCTCATAATTGACTGGAGAAGCGGATTGGCTTCTTCTGCGCCCTTGCATCTTTTAAAAGTCACATCCGTGCACGACTGAGAGAGCTAATTGCATAAGTAAAAAGGCTATTAGAACTCATAATATTGTAAGGAGGTATGCTATTGTATAAAGTGAGGCCCTTATTTTTTATTTATTTTTTATTATTTTTTTGTTATATCCTCTGGCACGGTTTCATTAATGTTGTTCATCTTTTAATGTTTTTTTTTTCTTTTTACATCTGAATATTTCTCATGGTATTGTTCTGATTTATGGCATTAATAATAATTACAAAAAAAAAAAAGGTACATGAAAGGACAGATAAGTTACCTGATATGGTTTGATTGTTGTGTCAGGAATTTTCAAACACAACAATGGGGTCACATATTCTGATGCCCCCTTTAAATAGATTAGTAGCCTGTTTTTGTGATATCAGCTTTATGAACATTGTTAAACATTTATGTTGCATACAAAAATAGGCTACTCTGCACACTGCATTGTGTTTAATCTCATGAAATGTTTAATTGGTTTAATAAGCCTGTTGTTGAATAACCAGCATTTCTAAACAAACAATCCACACAGTCACTTTAATTTTTATTTATTTAAGAAGCAGTTAAGATATTGTACAAACATATGCAGGAGAACATTCAAGACAAGAGGATACAGTAGCCTACATAACACTTAAGGCTAAAACATAAGCAGAGGAAAAAATGTAATTGAAAAAAGTAGATTTTTCTAAATTTAAAAGTATTAGAAAATGAATAAATAAATACAAATTATTTAATGTAACAGCTGTACTGTTCATATTTGACCAAAATTCTTTCCTGGATAGGTTATAAAATAGAAGAGGTTACACATTACGCGAGCAGACTGTATTGACGCGCTCATAGGCTACAATGTGCATGATTTTTTTTAAGGACTTGCTAGCGGTAGGGAGTTTAGTTTATTCCAGTGACTCGAATCATTTGAACACGTTGACCACAAAGATTCATCTACTGATTCAATTTGCGTGTTATCGGTACATGGCGACAAATGTCTCTGTTATGAGCGAGTCATTAACTCGTTAAATATGCGCGAATACAGGTAGGTGAGTTATCATTTTTGTTAACTGCTGACCTTGGCTTCAGCTATCAAACTATAGAAAAAGACAACAGTAGTCTAAATAGAAACCTAATGTCTTTACATTTTTAGACATTGAGAATTAGATTTAAAGGGGGTATAAAGGGATATAAAATGAAAATTTAAATTTTGTCATTTACTCATCCTCATGTCCAAACCCATTAATGGTCGAAATACAAGTCAAAGGATTAGTTCACTTCCAGAATAAAAATTTCCTGATAATTTACTCACCCTATGTCATCCAAGATGTTCATGTCTTTCTTTCTTCAGTCGAATAGAAATTAAGGTTTTTGAGGAAAACATTCCAGGATTTTTCTCCATATAATGGCTTCAATGGGGACCAACGGGTTGAAGGTCCAAATTGCAATTTCAATGCAGCTTCAAAGGATCCCAGTTGAGGAATAAGGGTCTTTTCTAACGAAACGATCTGTCATTTTCAAAAAAAATAAAAATTGCATAAACTTTTTAACCACAAATGGCAGTCTTGCATTAGCTCGACTCCACGCATTATGTAATCACGTTGGAAAGGTCACGCGTGGCGTAGGCAGAAGTACCGAACCAATGTTTACAAAACAAGCGTGCAAGTTTAACTGTTTAACTGAAGCACTTGTGTGTTGTTGAAGCACCACTGGGGGTTTTCCACAGTACATTCTTTATCACTAGTACTGTTTGTTTCTACTGTAATCAGAACTGGGAAATGAGGAGAGTCAGAGAGATGTGCAAATAAGCAGAACATAGCTCTCAGCAGAGGAAAATGGGAGATTATTAGAAGTGTCCATTAGGTGGCAGTACTCCCAGTGTTCAATCTGCCATTAAATCCCACTCGAAGAACAGTTTCCTGAAATACAAAATATACAAAAGCTGCGTCCCAAATGACGCACTATACACTATGCACTCATTCACTATGTACTTATGCACGTGTGTACTTATACTTGTTCTTGTACTTATGCACATGTACTCAACTGTTTCAGAAAGGCGGGGCATAGAGGAGAAACAATAATGTACGGTATGTGGAAAATAATGTGTTTTTTGAACCTTAAACCGCATAAACACATTTCGTTACACCAAATACACAAAATACTGTTCTTTTTAGCAGCATCATATGACCCCTTTAAAGTGCACTTTTTCTTTTTGGAATTTTCAGTGTGAACGCACTACTCGCACTATTTATACTACAAAACGTCATAGAATAGTGCATAAGATATGATGTCTGTTCAACATTTAAAATTGCATTGAAATTGAATAAAAATGCCAGTGTGCTCAGCGTATAAGTGCAAGAAGCGTTCAGATATAGGCTTAGATCTCTGCCAAAATTCTGCGCGCGAAAGATCATATTTAGAGTGCACAAAAGTGCATTTTGCACGCGCGCGATCTGAGTTTTATTGAGATAATGTTCGTTTCGCAAAGTTAATAGGTTAACAGTAAGTTCCCGTACTATATACAGGGAAAAACTGTAAAATATCTAACCAGACATTTCATGTAATTTTACAGTAAAATGCTGTTAATTTTACAGTTTTTATAAGTAAAAATAATAAAGCAATGTATAATTTTCAGTCAAAAACTGTAAACTGATATTCCCAGAATTCCCTGCATGACACTCCACATTTGAAAGTATTTTGTTTAAATAATCATGGTTTTTT